GCCGGAAGATATCGTGCTGTACGGAAAGATAGGGCCCCTAATAGCCAATAGTGTTTAGTCTATGGTGCAAGCAGACGGATGTGACGTTGTAAACCTAGCTATATAACACCTTGTTACCCATCAATAAAGGCCATTTGCCGTCCACCACATTGGTGTCAACTAGCTGATGGCCCGAGTGGTTTGGGGGTGGTCGCCGTGCCGTCCCTGAACCAGGTCGCTGCAGCCATTTGAACTGCAACACTTACATGCACCGATCTTGACCTTGGAGGAAGTGCTGCTTGAATACTAACCAGCTCTCTTGGGCCCCCCTTCCTTCTAGAGCTCTAGTCCATGGGATTCTTCCAAGTAGGTCTCTGAAGAGGCCAAATCTGCCCCCCTTGAAGTCCATGATTGCAAGGCTTCTTACAATCCTGCTTCCTCCTCACTGGATCCTCAACTCCACCAAGTGGTGATTGCTGCAGCCAAGGCTACCCCCCAGTTCACATCTCCAAAAAGTCCCTCTATTTTTTTAGGACCAGGTCCAATAGCCCACTTCTCCTCTCTGGCTCTTCCATGGCCTGTGTCAAAAAGCCATCATCAATGCTCTGCAGGAAAAACCTTGTTTCTGCCTGGTTTCAAACCAGGGACTTTTTACACTTTAGGCAAACGTGGCAACCACTACACTACAGAAACCTGCAAAATGATGGTATATGATATATCACATATTGATAATTATCATTAATGATAATTAAAATGAGATCATGAGATAATATCATCAAAATCACTGATAATTAAAATAATAATGATAATATTAAAAAATCAAGAACTTTGACTCCCATTGTATATCTGTGTGCTTCCCAATCAGTCCAAACAGAGATCTTTTGCCTAGTTAAAAAAAGGAATTTTGAAATGAAACAAACTTCTTCCAGAATTTGTCAGCCTGCTCTGTGTCTATAAAGCATGTTTAATATGATTTTACATGGCAATTCAATGGAAAATGTTAAAACAGAAGTAAGAAGTGGGTAATAAATAAGCTATCATGTCATCCTTTTACAAAACAGCTCTGCCCTGATCTATGATATTCTTCCAAATTAATATATAGTCATATATGTTATCTAACATCTCTTGTACTCTGTCTCAATCTATGCCGCTTAGATTTTGAACAACCTAAATTGAACATTTATCTTATATTTCAAACCCACACAAAATACAACATTAATGTTATTTTTATTGATTTCTTGCATTTTTTCTGCGAAAGAAAATCATTTATATTCATCTCCAGCCCAATTTGAGTTTTTCTGTACCTGAAGTGAATAAGTCTACAATGGCATATGACAATTCATCTTGCTTCCATGCAAAATGTATCTGAATGTAGCAGTTGTTATTATCAACACAGATACTACAACAGATGCTATGCAATAATCATATAATTTGATTAACATCTGATGTAAAAACATAGGTTCTAGAAAAACATCATCAGTTATGAGAATAACCTAAATCTCACAAAAGAAAAGCAACTTTTGAGTGTTTTTTGGTGAAAAGTGTTTAGAGGCTCTAATAACCTAAATTTTCACCAGTTCTTTGGAAAGATTTCGTTACTTAAAGAAATTAAATCACTGAAATAACTTCTGCTAATCAGGTGATGTTGCAGAAACTGCAGATTTAGCTGCTCCCATTCAGTTGTTGCCTAATACCAGCAGTGCCTGTAGTCTGTGGGTATCTGGTATTTCAGTTCAGAGTGATTTCTAGATCCTGGAAACCTGTTTCTGCCCAGTCCTGACAGGGGGAGCAGCAGCCTGCTTACTGTCTGACTTCACTGCAGCAAAATATCTGCTGCTTGCTAAGTTCAGCTACAGATAGAAGGTTTCACCAGTAGTCACTCCACTGGCTCCAAATGTGCCTCTTCTCCTTGATTTAAGTTTGATCTAGATGATTAGTAACTTCTACTGTGCATAAGCCTTTCAGACAGCCCTACCTGAAGCCAGGAGTGCCTGAGAAGGCAGATACTTCTGCTGAGTTTTGAGACTCTGTAGGTTTGACGTGTAGGCAACCACTACACTGTGACTGTGGCCTTCTCCCCTTCCCTTTCCCCCATCAGCAGAGAAACCAGGACTGGCAAATCTAGTTGCCTATCTCTGTGAACTTCCAGACAGCCAGTTCTGTCACTTATGTGTATAGTCTGGAGACAAAAACTCTGGAGACGATAACTTATTTTCCTGCTTTGAATGAGTAAGAGCTGTGGAGAAAATCTGTATTCAAGTAGACTTTCTCCACCCTGACTGGAACTTAAATGTGCACAACAGGGAAGCAGGTACAACTGAGTGAATTCACCTCTTTTGCTGTAATAAGCTGCTCTATGGGAAATAGTACATGTCCAGTGTACACTTACCCTGGTCAGTGACAGCATAGTGATTCATTATTTTACTGCTAATGTCAGTGACATCTGAGTAGTATTTCTTCTGAGATGGAATATTCCTAACCATGAGTTTATTTAAATAATACAATTCCTATCTCTACTTCCCAAACATATGTTTTTCTCTCTCAACTCTTAAAAATAATCTGCAGTGTAGTAAACTGAGTTCAAATTAATGATCTGATGATTCTGAAATTGTCACTGCTGTTATCTGTTCATATTATTTACCTGGAGCATGTTTTCTCAGTTGCATCTGTGGAATTGCTAAAGAAGAAACGTGTGATCTTTCAAAAAAGCCTCTTCAGGCTGACTTAAAAGTTTCATCAGAGCTTCAGCCAAAAAGCACTGGATCAGGCTATAGCCCATGACATAACTTACATATTACATTCATTCACTGGTGTTGAAGCCACTTGTAAACATGCATTAATCCGAAGAGTGGACTCAAACTCACTCTGTTCAGGAAAGACTAATGTCAATTTTGATTACACAAGAATAATAAAAATGTAAGACATACTGTACGTAATACTTGACAAACTCTAGAATAAAAATGACAGGCCAGCTTTCAACAAATGCGGTCATACAGCAAAAGTGGTCACAAATAATAGAGATTGCTGAGCGATATAACATCACATAAGGGCCAAATCTGATAAAACTAGCATTGTAACTGAAACTTTGGGGAGATGAAACAGATTCCTTTTTTATGAAAATAATGTATAATCATTTATGTACTGTTCTGGTAGCATCTCCTCATTTTAAGAGCCAATCCACTTTTCTTTACACTGATTTGTTTTAGGAGTCCAGCAGTTTGCTGGGCGGTAGCTTTGCTTCTTCTTGAAAGAGGCAAAAAAAAAAAAAAAAAAAAAAAAAAGATTTCATGGAATTTCTTGAACATCTGTGATACTTTTTGTGACTTGCTGAAGATCTTTTATAGTCCTGTGCACAGTCAAGAATGAGTCAAAGAGAAGGAACCTATCCCAAAAGGTGCCAAGTCAAGGCTCTAAAAGTCCAAGTACGCAACAAGGACAAAGCACATTTGAAAATACTGGAAGAGGGTATGGAGCTGACAATCTGGTGATTGTATATTTTTTTCTAAAAGGAATTTCCCTGCAATTAATAGATTATCATCCCTTGTCATCAGTCAGTAGCACAGATCTGGCATGAAACTGTTGCTTTTTTAGGTTTACCTCATCCATGCAACCAAAACTTGTAGGCCCATTCATGGTACAAATACATATGTTTCAGTACATGCTTCTACTAGCATGCTTCACAGGACTCGTGCTTCAGGCACTTATCATCTCCCCTTCTTAAAGATTACAGCCGAGTACATTATATTTATAGTCATTTCCCAAAATAGCGTGTAGATACTTCTTACTTATGCCTTTATCTCCTAATTAATTTTAGCTTTCTCATTATAGTCTCATAAATTCTGTGGCCAGAAGCATCGCTACAACTAGGGGGCAGACCATAGATTTTTAGTTTCCCAAAACACAAACCTCTTGTAAAAAAAAAAGCTATAAAATTCATAATTGCATGTAAGAAACCATGCCACATCATTCTTCCACTCTAAAATAAAAAATTAATAACCTCAGTAGAAAAGAGCTTCATATAGTCCAAACAATACATAGAGAAAGCAAAAACAGCAAAAAACAATGATAGATCAATAGTCTGAGAGACTAAGAACTAGATTAGACTATGGGTGGTAAGGCTTCTTGTCATGGCTGCCTGGACTTTTTTTCTCATTAAGACACAGCACAAGCTCAGAAAGTAGACCTTACCTTATGAGATGGAAAGATTCAAGCTGTTTGAAAAGGAGCTGAAATATCTGCTGTATTTGTTCTATATTTCAGAGGCTGATCATAAAAAAAAAAAGAAAAAAGAAAAAAGAAAAAAGAGATTTCCAGGGAGTAAGAAGGGCAAAAAGAAGTGCATGAATGTTGGTTACTACATTACAAAGGCATTCCACATATAGAGACTAGTCCATCAGAGCCTCACCTGGGTAATGTTTAACAATTAGAGAATCTCTGATCAATAATTTGAGAATATAAGATCTAGGTGGTCTGTTTTAACATAATGATGTCACTTGTTCATGTCAGTTGATGAAAGTCAGTTATTAATGACGTAGCCAATTCCAGCCTATGCTAGCATAGAGTATGCTAGTGCAAAGCTCCTTCAGTCTCCTCATAGAGAAAGTTGCCTGCTGACATCATGTGCCAGGTGCCAATAGCTCAAAAAAATACTGGAAAACACATTCTGATGGACAATCACATTCTATAACGTAAAAATCTAAGTATATGTGCAGTCTGTTTTTTGGTCTTGATATACAGACTTGATTCAGCTTATTATCACATTCCTTTGGCATACAATTTCAAATCTAAAGTGTATCTTTCTCTGACAGACAAAACATAATTGTCCTGCATACTAAAAGAACAGGCAACTCTTTGGTCTTCACTTCTTTGAGTAGTGTTAGGGAGGGCATACAAGTTAAATAAAATTGTGCTCTATCATCTCAGTCATTTCCTGAAAAAAAAGTGATATAATGAGAACTAATGCTGACTATAACCTTGACAGCTTTATTTAAAATGCACACTGTAGAGGAGAGTTATTGATTTAAATGATACACTTACATTTGTTCATAAATTTATCAGTATATTGCTGAACCTTGCTTTGGTACTTCTAGACATGAAAGTTATGGCACCAAAGTTATAATCTGTATTTAACTAAAAATATACTTTACAGTGATTTCAACATAGTTAATAATACATGATTCTGAGCAATAAAAGATTTAACAGCATAAAATCAACACTGATTATATGAACCAAATATCACCTAAGAGCAATTAATTAGACCAACTTTTTAACAACAGAATGCAATTCCTCTTATTTCAGTCAGGCATTCTAAACTTTTAAAGATTAAAAAATTTAAATTTATTTTTAAATTAACTTAAATGTGCAGAATTAAATAACTAAGAATTAAAAACACATACATGGTACAAGCCAAAATAATCAAAAAGGCTTTTTTCATTTATTTTCTTTTTATAACAACATGATCAAAGTTGGACTCTAGAAAACTGACTCTATAGAAACAATATTCTAAAGTTTAACACTTTTTATAGTCACTCAGTGACTTAAAAGTTGCAAACTTCACAGACTTAAAATTCACAGCATTTCCCTAATTAATCCCCTCTCAGCCCTCCCTCTTCTCTGCTTAGGAATTCAGCTAGGTCTTATGCCAATATAGGAAACAGTCCATACACTCGATTTTAAGCATATGCTTAAATCTA